GAAGAATGGTTGTGCCCTGACAGCTTCAGTCAAGCCTCAAGGAAAAAAGCTTTCTTTTCTCCTCATTCATCCACCATCAAACCAATTATTACCTGTGGAAACTGTTACATGAAGCTGGTTTTGCTGTGGAATATTTTCACTAAAAACAAAGTATTCATATTGGTTTGTGGTTCATTACTGTCCAGTGGGCACCAACCCTCGGATGAGCCTCCTTCGGGTTGTCAGAGACTGTAAATTGCACTGGAGAAGGTGGCCCGTCTTTCTCCTGAGAGTTGGGGGGGTTCAGAGCACCTGCGTCTTTGGGGTCATTGCACAACCAGGCCGCATGCTAGGCCAGCACCTTCATTTGTATTCCTCCTTGGATTTCAACATTTTGCTTTGTACATTCTGTTCATTTTCACACATACAGTGTTGTTAAGCTTTGTTTAGAATTAAAATCCAACACACATGAAATCTGGTAAAGATCCTCCATGACTTCATTTTCTGCCCCTCTTCAGCCAGTTCTCTCTCCTCTCTCTGATGATCTCTGGTCTACGTACTGGCATGTCTGTCTCGGGTCAGGAAAGGTGGCCCCAGCATCTGATGAAGTTTCTCCGTTATCTCCGGAAGCACCATCTCTGATCCGTCTGTGAAAATAACATCCCTGACACCTTCTGTTTGCTTTTTCTTCATGGCACCTCAAAGTTGCGCATTTGTTGGACTTTGACTGTTTGTACTCCCCTGCATAACATATCTTGAGAGCAGAAATGTCATCTTCTGTGTACCTCACGTTCTCATCACTTCAGAAGGAAGATCTGGTGAACCACTTCCATGGAAAGCTCTATGGAGCCCAGCTGGACCTCAGCACGCACTGGGCTGTGAGGGTTGGAAATCAACTTGAGGACAACTGGTTGTTACCTACAGAATGTGACCAAACAAATCATTTTATCTACTCAGGAAAATAATTATTTCTCTGGTTCAACACACTATTATCCACCATGTAAAAACTGTCCCTCGCCACACTCCAAGGGTTTTTAAGATACTGAATAGGAAAGCCATCGCGTTTACCATCTGACATTCAGCAACATTAGGGTTTTCAACATTTTTATTTTCCAAAGAGTATTTTAAAAGGACATTAAAAGCGTCAGAAGTACAAATCTGGCCTAATGGTTAACATAAGAACGGTCATTATAAAATTATTCGAAAATACATCACACACTTTGCATCACAGTAAAGCATCAAGAGAACTAGTCCTTGTGTTCCTGCTACTTGATTGTGGTCGGCTGAAGCGTCAGTACTTTTAGTTCTCGGTTTAGCCCTTATGAAGAGACAGTATGTATCTATATCACTATATGGTCACATATAGAGATAGAGATACACGCAGGGGCTACAGTCTAGCCCACTGTACTCCATGCAGGTTAAGTCAGAAAGTTCTCCATGAGCATAAGGAGACTTAGATGCACATGCTCCGCTTTCTTGATGCTATAATTTACCTCCCAAAGACGGGCCCCTTGCTGGTCCAATGATCCCAGCCTCAAAGGCAGTGACGTCACTGAGGAGACACAAAGAGTGAAGACCACAGAGGTCAGAGAGGGGACCGCAAATGACTGTGTATAAAACTGTGCGCCGTGTTTCAGCAGGAGTCTGGTATTTTCTTTTTTTTATAAAAATATCCCTATAAGTTACAACAACAAAAAAAAACCACCTTTGTAAGCCCAGCTTACATGATCAATATACCTACAAGGTTAAAAAATCTATACTGTGTTACTTTTCCGAGCCTTCTCATGTGCTCAGTTGAGGGCTGTGATGACGAAATTACAGTGGCACTTTAAAATCACAGCTGCTTCATCTGCAGGTGCTACAAGCTGTTTTCGCTGCTGTAAAAGGTTTTTACACTCGCTGATTTTGTTCCATTTTTTCTGGTGTCATAGTTACAATATCGTGGTAATAAGTGTTTGTGAGCCTGGGCCAGTAACTGTTTTGACAATGAAGTTATAAAGAGGGGAGGGAAAAAACCCTCATTGCTGTTGACTCAGAACTGACTCACCGCTGACCCTCCAGCGGGTTTTCAGAGGCTGTAAATTGCATGGGAGAAGACTGCTGGGGGATTTGAACTGCCGGAGAGAAGCACCACCTCTGGGCCAGCAATGCACCTTTCCTGTGGACTAGGCCCCCAGAGCTTCCTAATAAGGGGAGAGACAGTGACCAGTTTAAAGGGCTGCCACTTGGTTACTAAGAATATGATGTCATCGTCCAATGTACTTTTTACCAAAACCCTCAATTTTGTTAGTATTCACAAAACTCACAAAATAATACATTTAAGCAATTTAGAACTACATCACATATCACTGTATAACTAAAATTAATAATAGGGAGCTCTAGAGGCCTAGTAAGAAGAAGCTGTGCTGCGATCCCAAAAGCATGCGGTTCGAGGCCACCAGCGGCTCTGCAGGAGAAGGATGGACAATCTCTTCCTGTGCGATTTACTGCCTATGAACCCGTCAGAGGGCAAGCTATGAGTCAGTTCTGACTCGACCGCACACAACAACAACAGCAAAATTAGTAATAAACCTTGCCATGGATTCAGTATGGTGTGAGAGGAGACCCATGGGACCTGGGGAGGCAGGTGACACTGAAAGCTACTCTACTTACTGCCCTCAAGCTTGTGATGCCACTGCCCAGGGGGTCACTAAGAAAGCCTGGCCTTTTAAATCCTATCGGCAGCAATTACATTTGCTTTAACCTTTTAGTAACTCCTACATGAAATGCCTGGCCACAGAAAAGAGATGGAGAGCCTAAAAAAAAGGTAAAAGTATTTCCTTGAGTAATGTTAATTGTAAAGCTATTCTGTCTATTAGAATAAATACTAGATCATATCCAGGGACAAAAGTCAATTCCTAATAAGTAACAACTGTGAGAGAATAATAGATGTCTTAATTCTGTCTTGGTTAAAAAGGGGTTCTATTCTAACCTATCTCAGCAAAGTATTAGTAAATTAAAACAATGCATTAGGAAGATAAAAACACAAATGAAATAGGTAGCAGTGATTTTCCAAAACAGTACCCAATTACAGAAAATTTAAAAAAAAAAATAATGTGAAGGGTGGAGGTTATAAAAGTGGTAGAAATTGTGGAAGATCATTAGGGAAAGACAGAGAGAGGGGGAATGGGAGTAAAGGAGAGAAAAATGAGAGGCAGTAAGAGAAAGGAAGAAGAAAAACAGAAGCTCAAAAGGCAAATGTACAAAGAAAATGAAATCCATACCTCAGACCTCATAGGAGAGAAACGAGTGCTTGATAGTTGAAGGCAAGAGTTGTTGGTTGAGGCTGGACCGAATTTTTGCTTTCAGTATATTCTATCATCTGCACCTGTCACGATCTCTGTATCCAAGACCAGCTTGGGGGAGGTTCCTGTAAACTGCCTGCCTTTCATTCAAAGGGAAAAGCGGCTTCTGACAGGCAGTGACACTTCTCCAACCCAAGGATTTATAGACACATATTCTGGTTGTGCCTGGATGCCCACCTTGCATCTTACGATGACAGTTCCAATCCTCAGTGAGTCCACATGTTAGCTGTATCATGACAACTTTTTACATAAAAACATGAGTTAAAAATATGAATTCATGATTGTGATGCCAGAAATCGCAGGGCCTGCCATAAAATTGGTTTTTAAGTATACAAAAAAATCTAGTTTTCCCCCTTCGCTGCCCGTTTCCAGTGTAGCAATTACAGAAGAGAGGAGGAGAATTTAGTCTGAAAATCCATCATTTTAAAAGAACGTTTCCACCATAGTGCTATATAAACAAAGACAAAAAAGAAGCCACTGGTAAATAGTTTTCCAAGTTGTTCGTAAACCCTTCTCACATGGAACGAAAACACAGGTGAAAAGGCTCCCAAGCTCATCCCTGTGCCCTGTTACGTGACAGTTAAGGGAACACTGCTTTCCCTCTAACACCTGCCTAACACAGTACAGGAGTATTTACTCTGCCAAGCATTGCATTCTCTATTCAATGCACGCACTTGGGTGCTATTCCTATTTCAAGCATCTCGCATTAAGGTCACCTGATCTAAAAATCGGACCAGCAGAAACCCTTAGGGGTCCATCTGCTGTCTGACAGCCACTGCATTACTGTGAGTTAAGATCAGCCTGACTGCAGCTGGTTTACTGGCGGGCCCCCCTCCTTCCCTTTCTCCCTCCCTCCTCCCTCTCTCTTTTAAACTCAGTCATCTTCACCAAGATTCTGCGATGAGATCATTCCAGAACACAAAACAATGAACTGTTTTAACACAACAGCCTTATTTTTTTTTTTTAAGAATCATGTATCTACTCAACACAAAATAATCATCCTTAGAGTAAGAAAGGGCAATAATTATAATGCCTTCTTAGTTGGTCACTGGAAGAAGAGGATAGTGCCTGAAAACCTCCTATCTGTATTTTGGGGAAGGGTAGAGTTAGAGATAAAATAGTTGCAATTTTCTGCTCTATCAAGATATTATTTCTTCAAATTAGCCTGCTTACAAAAAAAAAGTGTAGTACTACTTCCTTTTTTTGAACACATTAAAGAATAAAAGTTTGACATTTGTTAATAAAATTGACACCTCCACCAAAGTTAATAGCTTCTTAAATCTTTTTAAAACTCCAGCCAGTGTATCTTTTATAAGTCCCTTAATACTGATTCTTAATGATCATAATTAGTTGATTTCCACCCCCATGATAAGTGCCATCATCATACCTGAAATGATTCAAAGGTTTCACACAAAGACTGGGACACTGGAGATGATGGGGGAAGTGGGGGGGGGAAGCTAAGTGATACAGTTTTATGCCAGATCTTAAAATGTCCAAGAATTACAAAGCAAAACAACAAGATGCTAATATTGGAGACGCAAGAAAATGCCAACTCCCAGTGAACGACTCGGCTGCCTCTTTGTAAGTTTTGATCTATCACTCATGTCTTAGAAATTAAGAAACACAACCCAGCAACGCCCCAAACCAGAGGCCAGGGCCGTTTGTAAGAGGAGATGGTCAGACCGACGGCACCGGGATGTGCTTGGCCGAGTTGCTGTCGTACTCCTGCATGAGGTCATTGGTGGTGTGGTAGTGCATGGCGATGTAGGAATGGGCAAAGCCGAAGGTGCTGCCGGGCTGGCGGGGCTGCGGGGCGCTGTCCTCCCGGGAGGGGCTGCTGTTGTAGATGCTGTAGTAGGGCTCGATGCGTGTGTTGATGGGCGTCGAGCTGCTCTGGCCGTAGTGCAGCTGGCCGGCCGAGAACTTGGGGCTCGCCACGCTGTCCCTGGAGTGGCTGGGCCCGCAGGCCTGGTCCACGAACTGCCGGTGGGGCTTCGGGGACAGCACGTAGGCCGAGTTGGTCTCGTGGTGGGACGACTTGTTCCTGTTCACTTCCAGGTTGCCCTTGCCCACGGCTCGGAGGCGCGTCTTCTGCTTGCAGCACACGTCTGAACTCCAGTCACAGTTG